ATATAATAAATAAAATTTTAAAAAATTTGCATAGAATACGTAATACGGTAAAACGTTAAAAAAAATTCATAATTCATAAGTGATTGCTTTGGCGAAATATCATTTAATAAGTCTATGTCTGATATTAAAATGTATATACATGAGTTTAAAATCATAAATCATAATTCTAAAATTTATAGCATATATATTAATTCAAAGCCATAAATACAGTAAAGTAATAAAATCTAAAGTTCACCAATCCAAGTTTTTTTGGCAAAACATCTCTGAAGGTGAGTATAAGTCTTATTTTCGTTTGCTTCCTTAACAAAGGTGTTCAGCAAACCAATATATTCGTCATAAGTTACGCCCATATATTCTGGAAGAAAAACAAAACTCTGGAATATTCTACGAATATTGCACATTGACTACAAATTAAAAAGAGAGATTAAAATATATTGAAATACCTAGTATACGTGTAATAACATAAAGCATTATTGAAATTATTTACTTACATATTTACCAAAATAACCAAACCATTCGCCTATTGGATATTCTACTTTAACACATTGTATATTTTTAAGCTCCTCATTTGACTCAAACATTTTTGTTAACAAAGCACCAATTCGAATATTAACACCTTTTTCTTTCATGCAAGCTTTACAGGCTAAATAAATAAAATATTCAAATATAATTAATTATTTAATTAATTTATGTATCTTTGAACTAACAGAAAGCATCAAATGCATTATTAAGTATTGTACTAACAAGCTTCTTCTATCCATTTTGTAATCTTTCCACAATTATGAAGTTGGGCAGTTGCTTCTAACGATTCAATCCAACCATCATATTTTAAGACTCTGACAATATCTTTAATCAACTCAGACCATTGTGACTCGGTGAATGCAGACCACATCATGCCTAGATAAACAAAATAAAAAATATACATAACACCTATATGATATAATATCATATGATATATACATATGCACATAATGAAAAATATATTTACCCAATTTCAAGTACTTTAGCACCGCCATTTTTCAATTTTTCCTCAATTGGAGAGCGAAAGTTACATTTCCAGACATGCTTATTTAGTACATGTGCCAATTTTGTTCTTTCAGCTTCTAACTTATCAGATGGTAATATATAATTTAAATCTTCGATATCAAAGAAATCTCTTCCGTTTATTGTTTTAAATTTACTCAAAAGAGGTGAAATAACTTCATCTATATCTTC